TCAACAAATACCTCAAATCACACCCTCACCTATATTGGATCTTTGTCTCTTCATTGCCCATACAGAAATATGAAAACACATCACAAACATCACTAATAATTCTCTGTACTATTTCCTCAAGTACATCATCTTTTCCTCCAAAGCAAGGTGTTTCCTATCAGTTAAGTAATGTATTTCTGAGCTGTTAAAGAACATTTTCAAGAACCTAAAAAATGCTACAGATATATTTAAAACAGAAGTAATTGAAATATGAAGAGGCTGCAAGGTAATGAATTATTAGGAAACTGACCTTTATAGTCTCCTGTGCTGAAATAACACTCCAATGGGCTTTCAGAAAGATGTGACACGAACTTTTCAATTAATTCTGCCAAAACTACAAAAAGCAAAAACCCATTGAAACATTAGATGTAATGAACAAAATATAAAACTACATCACCTAACAAGATGACAATATGAGAGTAAATAAAGCTATCTGAATAGCTGCATGTTTATTCATGTTTTTACGGGGGAACAATTTAAAGAATGCGTTGTGCTTTTGCATTCCTAACGTCATTCCTAAATTAAATCAAATTTTAATAGCTTTACTGAGAACATATTCAGTGTAAGCTCAGAGAGAATCACATTATCTTTATATCCTCCAGTAATTACATCAGAATTTGTTACATAGTATCAATATAAAATGAAAATTAACTATAATTAAGCTACAGTATCGTATCCCATTTGTATATGTGTGTGTGCAGACAGGAAAGCAAAAAAAACCTCTATATCAATCAAATTTAATGAACTTCTAAGAGCTGTTTCCAATAAACAATATAAAATCGCCTATGCTATCACAAGATAAAAATTACACACTTAAAATTAAGTGATTGCAGAACTTCCTTTGGGAAAGTCTATGTTTTATGATGACCATAAAGTTCTTGATCAGTTCTTGCCAAGTGGAAGCTCCAAGTCTGCAGTTACTGCATAGATAAGCTCTGGCTATCCTGAGATCTGGTCACTATATAAGAAATCATATCTTACACTTTAAAAGAATATTAACTAGAAAATCAGTGACGATTCTCAGTGAAAAATCATTAGCAAAGACCGTTCCCGAACCTCGATTCTGTAAGCTTGATACTCCTCAATTGAACATAGTATCTTTACAGATTCAAACAACAGGATCCAAGCAACTCTTTATATATATTCCATGGAGAAAGCCTGCACTGAGGTGACCCATAGTAAGAATTCAAGATGGCAACAATTAATATTTTTTTATAAGCAAATGCTATCCCAAGACAGCTGCATTATAAACTGACTTCAAAGATTAGCAGTACAACTTGCTTTTTACAATAACCCAAAGCAAGGAAGTGGATTTAGAGAGTAACAAGAGCAGTTATCTTGAGGATTTCCTGTCTTAAGCCTGCATGCTATAATTTTCTTGGCAGCACCTCAGTAGAACAGGTCTCGAGCTGTACTGTGTCAGTCTCTGCCTGCCTGTTTCCTGCACACAATCTCCATGCACCCACAGATAGCTTTGTTGTTTTTAAGCTAGATAATTTCACTAAACCATTTTAGATGTACAAATGGTTGTAGCAGCACAAGCAAGACACAGCAACCTGTGGTGGAGGTGGCAATGGAAAAAGACAGAAAATTCCTCAGTTAGCCTTCCTGACAGGAAAATTAACACAGGAGACTGCAGTGCAAGCTATTTTGTGCATGAGGAAGAGGAAGACAAGATCATTTCTGCCCACAGTTTGATGCTTGTTATGCCAGAAAAATAATGAAGAAAAATCTCATAAAGACTAATTAAGTCTTCCTCCAGTCATTTTAAGATAATGTACTGACATTAAATCATGACTTTCCTTGATTAGTTACCTAAAACATTTACAGGAATATAGTATTTGTCTAACTGTAGGAATAAACTCACACAGTCGTTTCATTTATGCTGAATTAGTTCAAAAAAGTTTTTAAAAGCTTGAATTTTGGTGTTACTGTGTTGATGGTGGGAAAAAGTTTCACTACAACAGTGAAACATAGTTTAGTGTTAAAGCAGCCAACTCCAATAGCAACAAAATTAATTTTGCATTGCAAAAGATGATTTTATAAATACAAGAAGCCATCTCTTGGCAAATCAAAACAAAGAAATTATGCATATGAATTTTGTTCTTTCACTTTCTTTACGGGCAGAAGAAACTGCTAAGTAAACATTATATAACTTTTTTTAAATGTGTCTCTAATAAACCAAATGGATAAGCAAAAATCAATTTATTTTAAAGAATAACAGTTTATTCATTTTGTGAGTACCAGAATAGTCTCTTTACAGCCTCCAAAATTAATTAAAAAAAAAAAAAAAGGTTTTACACTTGGAAAGGTAAACTGCACTAAAGAGTTACTTGCAGAGACCCCCCCCTTTGAAAAATGGTATCATTTTCTATATGACTATGAGAAAGTTACCACTGTCGCTATGATATTTTAGTTACTGTGCAAACATAACATATGTCTTTGAAATCATGCTGCATCAAAAGCTTCCCCCACCCCTCTGTCTTCTAAGGATGCCAAAGAAATTTACCAGTGCAGATTAACATTTTAATTAATTTTTATGGAACAGCACAGATAGATATATGCCTTTTTTTTTTCATTCTGGAAATAACTTAACTAATATGCTTAGTAGAATTTGGTCCACAAGCAACATAATAAATAGTTATGTAAGTAAAACATGAAAAACCCACTGAGCTAGAGCTACAGAGAGCAAAAAGTAGAAGTTAAGCTTAAACTTTGTAAGTAGATATATATTTAGTGCATGACTGTTCATACTGAGATTACTGAAATACGCAATGTCGTAATAACAAATAGGAGCAATGTTACAAGAATACAATATTGCATAATTCACAAAAATTAAAATCAGGACAGAACACTGCACATTTGTTCCCTTTTTGTTGGAAGGCATCCACATGCTTGACCTAACACTCAAATATTTCAGTTCAGTGTTTGAGTTAACGGGAGAAGTGACAGCTCAACTGCTAAACAGTTTTTTGAAAGTCAAGCACAAAATTGATTTCTACCATTTGAAAGTATTTATTTAAGTGCCTGTCAGGATCTTTGAAAGCTTTTAATCAAGTTTGAGAGAGGAAAAGACACGTAAGTGGAGCGTATCAAAACAAATTTGGTTAATACACAAACAGAGGGTTTTCACAAGACATATAGTCTTTTCCAAGAGAATGTTCACGTGAAACGATAAGTAGTCATTCTAGATTATTTTTCATGTTTTAATACTAAGTCAATTAACTGCTATTTATATACTTTCTGGAAATGTTTATGAAGATGGAGCCTCATTCAGTGATTTTTCATTCAACTGAGAAAGTATACAAACCAAATTTAGGAAAGTTCATTGTACAGTAAAATCAGGATTGTTTTAACAGCACTCATTTGAAGTCTTTCACAAAGAACTAATGCACAAAAGGCAGGTAATCTAAATAGCTTTTAAATAGCACACGAGTACTGATTAAAAAATTCATGTGATTCAAACTGTTAATAAGTAGCCACCAGGTTAGGCTACCTAGTACCTACTCTGAAGGGTTTAGGGTTTAAGCCAAAAAGGTCAAAAAAACAAAACAAAACAAAACAAAACTGCACCCTGTGTTTTCCAGCAACATTTCAAGTGCAATTTCAAGAGCCTCTCACTACGTTTTTCAAGTTTTTAAAGTCACCACTACTAGTTGCGACTAAAGAATAACTGCCTGAAGATTATCATAAGAAAGATGTTGCTTTTTTTCTCCTTTGAGAGAGAGAACATTTTGGAGGTAAGTTAACAGATCCTAAAGAATACTGGTGATCTAAGTCCAAATTTCTGAGGAAGAACGTGCCACCCACAGAAACTCTAAATGCCTCCATGTAGCAGGTTATTGTAGCTGGGTTCACTATCCCTATTCCTATCCCCATATGGATATAAGGTTATAAGGCTTCAGGAAAAAAATTAGGGTTTTGAGACTGATTATCTCCCATGATGGATGGGAAGAATGTTAGCACATAGTTCCATGATTTCTGCAACACCCTCAGTTTTTCTCATTTAGGGTTTAAAGTCTCCTAAAAGAGGAGAGGATTAAAGTTATTTTATCAGCCCAGATCAGAGAGAGACCAGCTGCTGATATGACATTATTAACTGGGAACTAATAAAAAAGGGTTGCTGGGACTGCAAACAACAAACATGCCTTCTGTCTCACCTGAAGGATAAGAATAAGGAGACAATTGAAAAGGCATGGATGAGACAGTCAAGCAGAGACCACTGGTTCAAAAAGATGAAGAAGAAGAGTCTTTCACTTTAAGTCCTGCCACATTAAAAGATATACATGCTGTGAAAGGTTCATATCTCCTTTTAACAGCTCAAGAAAAGACTCAAAATTGGATCTTGACGCGTGTCTGCAGAAATAACTTAGAAGCCACAGTCAGTTAATGCCAGGACAGTGAATGATGGGTATTGATGCTATACAGCTTGCTTAAGTATGTGCTGATGGAATTTTAGCAGGTTCTATAGATTCAGCATCTGATAATGCTGGCACCAGATCCCAAAAGTTTTTATATAAATATGTGCTACACTATACAGTCATTGCCTTCAATATTGTCTTTGCTGGTCATGTTCTGCTCCATTTCGGTTAATCTTTCTTGTCCTAGAAAAAGAGCTCAGAACAAGGCCTTTCAGTCCTCTGAAAGCTGTCTCTCATAAAATAGTTTCAGTGAACATAGTATTGTCTCAAACCACACAGCTAGCAGAAATATTGCTGCTTCTGAAATATCTGCATGCAGGTCTGCCTCATACGAGCAACAGCTTTAAGTTCACCTTAGAGTAACAGTACTTTCACCTAGTTATCACTATTCTTCAGTAGAATTTTTTAATTTAGTATTTCACTAAGGCATTCTGTTTCCATTTTCACACTTCATTTTTTTGGGGTGGTTTGTGAACGCACTTGCGGAAGCTGCTGTGAGGCATAAAAATATTTTCTTGCTTACTTTTACTCCCAACTGCTCCACCTCAGCTGGAAATAGTTATTCAGAAGAAACCCTAATCTCTTCCTTTTGGGTTAACAAATTCTAATAATTCCCTTTAAATTCCTAATTCTAGCTTCTGGTACCTCCAGTAAAGTTAAAAAAAAAAAACCCTACACAGGCTTTGAGGCTGTGTATAGCCAACTATAAAGCCTAAAAGAATAGAATTCTATTTTCTTTTTCTTTGTAAGTCAACTATTCTAAATATATGCTCCATTTTTACATAAAAATATGTTTTGCCAACAAATAATTCCTTTTACATGCAGAAAGACAGACTAACAGTCTTCCAAGAAGAGATCTGTCTAGAAAATATGCTGCATTCAAATAAATCGGTTTTGTAGAGAATAAATTATTTTTGTTTCACAATATGTAACATTAAAAAAACCGCTCTGCGGATTACTAGACCTATAAGAAACATGCAAAAAAAGTAAACATACCTTTCTCCTAGAAATATCTAAGTTTTCTTAATTGCTCTCCTCAATTTACTTTTCTTACAGTAGCAGAAGTTCATATAAAGTATATTCACTGTTTCAGCTTCTGCATCTCTTATTTGTTCACTCTTTTACAGGGCTCTCTTTCTCTATGAATACATGCATTTGTGGATGTGTACAATATAACGTACACAAATCTACGCATATATTACAAATAAATACATGCGTATTCTGTCTACACACACACATATTCCTCCAAATGGAAGGTTAAAGCTCTGACTAAATTATAATAACCTGACTATAAACACAAACTCATTTTAAACAAGCAACGAGAACAGAAAGCTCAGAGAATTTTGACAATTTCAATAATTACGGACTTTAATCACACTTACACAAGTGACAAGTTTCTTATTAATTATTTTTACACTGAATCAGTTCCTTTATAAATGACTTCCTTAGGCCCTCAAAATTTCATATGGCTCTGTAAGTTAAGACAAAATTCAGGTCTCTTATATAAAACACATATGCTAGGTTACTTTGATCTCACATATAATATATTTCTTCTGTCTTGACTGTCAGTTGTATTGATTGGTTTTCTAGAGAATTTAAAGAGAAGTCTTTGGAATACTTAAGCAGAAGATCAGACTTTGTATTGAGCATTTCCGTAATCAGAATTCTTAGAGAACGGCAAGTCAGCATTTTCTGAAAGCACCTAGTTTCTTCATTGCTATTCAAGTTTATATTTCATTACTAGTTGATTATCAAGTCTGTTTGCCAGTGATTTTTTCATATGGGTAACTGTTGGTTTTCTTTGGGTTGGTTTGCTGTTTTAACTGATTCATACCAATGCTGGAGCATGAGCTCACCATTCACTAGGAAATACAGAAAGAATGGAAGAAAAACCTCAATTAGTGGATGCTTTGATGTTCAGTAAGCTTTAATTCTGAAAACTTCTACCAAAACTGGCTATTCATATCATTTATTTTTCCCCTTAAAGTAATTCACTGGGGTCTGCTAAGTGCTTATCTTTTCCCTTAAGCTCTCCTTTCCATTTTCTGAACACCACAATCATGGACCTTTCAAAGACCTGAAGCAAGGACTTTGAGCCCTCTTCCTCTGTCAGATTTTGCACAAAACAAACCAGTGAGTTTAAAAGTTATACACAGGGATGATGGGCATAGACAGATACATAAGGCATAAATCTTGTTTTCATAGGAAAATCACATTGAAATAATTCTCATAATCAATAAAAAATTGACTACTTATAAAGATAATATAACTCCCAATGAAATTAAAAAAAACCCTGTTGCATATTAATGGCATTTTGCTTGCTTGCTTTGTTTAAATCAGTAAGCAATACTCACTTGTTCCACTGATGATATCAGGTTTGGCTTTCATGACTTTGCAGAACTGTTTTCTACAGTTTTCTGCCCAATCAGTTTGTTTATCTGGATTTTTTAGAAGTGATAAGAGCTTATCCAGATCATTATCTAGAATAAAAGAAGAATGAGCATCATTCTGTAATGACAATGTTGTTTTTTTTTAATTATGCTAAGTAATAAAAAGCTGTAAGCTACAAACTACCATAGGGATGTAGCAGATGCATTCAGAAACCAGAAACCATTTCAGACAACAGGAGAGCCAGATGCAAGCCTTGTCATTGTCTAGTATTTTGGCAGCCCCCAGACAACAGGAAGAAAAGGTCACTAAAGTATCCCTTATCCTATGACAATTACACTGGAAAAGTAGTTAGTCCTAAAGCTGACAACATTCTGCTTTATATAGAACATAAATTTTCATTCTATTTACTTGTACAGTTTTGAACACTTAAGATGTTCCTGAGGCACATCTTACATCTCCCCTACATTTTATAACCTCCCAATAAGAGGTGGAAACTTACTTTAAATAAAGAAGTTTGATATTTCCATGTCATTTCATGACTCTGAGAATTAAAAAAGGGGGAAAGGAAGGGAGAAATCAGAGCTCCACCATATATCATCAAATTCATAAGAAAACTGAGGTGGCAGCACTACTTTGTTGAACACAAAATGAAACATGATTGATAGCAGGGTAACAGTGCTCCATGGAAAATTCCTGCATCTTTCTATGAGTACGTTTCCTTCAGATGCCTCTAGAATGGACAGATGTTAGGCCTTCAGGTTGCTAGGCATATACATCAAGTAAATTTTGGGAAAATATACTGGCTTGCCCATGCTATGAGAATTTTTGTATTAGCTTCATTGATGATCTCCACAATTTCCCAGCTTTAACCCAGGGACTCAAAATGGACTGAAATGAACCTTAATAGTCACCTTAAGAGGTTGTTTTTTCATATTCATAGTATTCATAGGAACACCATAGAATTTCACACTGCATTCTCCGAAGATTCTAGGGGCACCCAACATGCTCCCACTGAGGGCCACAGGCCCTTATTTGCTGTTGCCAGAAACTAAAACAATTTAATGCAGGCATTTTCTAACTTAGGAACATTTGACTTTGTACCTAAGCTCTATTAAAACAGAGCCTTTTGGTATAACGCTGTTACATATGAGGCACAAATATATCAGAAAACATCTTTCATTATGAGTTCAGTTTGGATATAAAACAAATCTGTACAACCGTTTACAAAAATTTCTTTATGAAAGAATCCTTTAAAACATGAAGCGTTTCAAAGATTGCTCCTTCTTGTTACTCTCAACTTGTTATTAAAATCATATTCTCTTTTCCTATACAATAGGGAGATATGCCTTCAAAATTAAAACCAGCACTGATGTAATAACAAAAGGAGAATAACTGTGTTCTCTTCTCTCTTAGCTATAAAATGCTTTTTCCTCCCCTCTATTTTCTACAAAGCTACAGGCAATTACACATATTTTACCACTTTTCTAGAATATAATATCACAGGCTGAGGCAGTAAGTTTCACAACTAGTTAAGTCCAATAATAGGAGTTTGAAAACAGAAGAACCATAGTGACAAATACAAAATCAGCATGTAATCATCATAGACAAAAATGTTAGGCTGGCTTTCAGTGTTCGTACTTTGAGTCACAAGAATTCTCTCTTTAAATTAAACATCTTCTGCAAGTAAAATTTCTGTCTGGGAATTCAGATTGAACAATAAATATAAACAAGATAGCTTGACACATGATGACATAGCATACTGGGTAATGCAAAGTAGTAATTAAAAGAATGTTGCATACATATGCGTGGTCAAAAAAGAGAAAATCATTTCTTCTCATATGCACAATTTGTTAAAAAAGGGGTGACTGTTCAGTTTTGTTTTTAACCAAAGGTAGAACAAATTTCAGGTTCAAATACATAAAGTTAATTTATAAAATTATTTGCTAAGATAAAACTGATCAAAAATAGTTTTCTAACAAAATACTGATCCTACAAAACGCAAACAATCAATAGGAATGTTTCTTCTCAGGCTACCTGGTTCCTAGAATACTTAATGCTGCTAGGATTCCTGCATCATTGATAACTGCCCTGGTGAGAAAGTTCCAGGACAACCATGAAAGATGCCAAAAACTTTTTGTTTCTCTAATAAAACTGAATCTGAGAATTTCTTACTTGCACTCTTACTTCTTCGGGCACAATACAGAACATTTTTTCTGCCTGGCAACTTTTAATTTTTTCTAGCAAGGAAAATTCTTCTGATCAGCTCTATAAATAATGTTGCCACAGTTGTTACAAGCTGATCTTTGAGGGAAAAGTTAAAAGCAGCATCCAGTAATAAGGTAAATGCACATGTATGCACTCCAACAACTGTGTGCACTCCATATTTGCTGTGAGATGATCCATTTCCTATCATTATTAAAGGATCACACCTTGAACTTCTAATTACCATTCACTAAGATAACGAAGAATTCTTCACACCTTGCAAACTTACCTTTGTTCAATTTCTATGTTTTGAAATAAATCATTATGAAAATTTATATCCTGTTCATGAAGGGGACTTCTAATTTAAGATTTAACAAGCATGTTAGCCAATCTACGACACTTTGCAATATTTGCTGTCATTTTTACTTCTTCATAGTCTTCCAATTCATTTTTCCAGTAAATCACACAATCAAAAAGCTATTTGCAAATGATCTTGCTCTTTTAAGATGATTAAAATAATTAACAGAATTACTATACTGCATATAATTTATCTTAAACTGGTCCAAAGATTTTAACACTTTGCATCAGCAGATTGTTTCCCCATCATTGGAATTTATTAAAACAATACATAGTATTTCAGAAAAGCTCATTATAGTAATTTAATAATTAACAGTAACAATTCTTCCAAATTAATTAACATGAAATTCCTTTGTTATCTTCAAATAACTAAATCTTCAGTCAGTATCTTGCCAGATTACATGCACTGACACTAAGAATGGCTTCCGTGAGTAAAAAAACTTCATGTGAAAAAGGATTTACGCTTGTAATATCAATAGGATTTCTAGTTCTTTCTCTTCCCTGCACTGCTTTTTTTTTTTTTTTTTGTTTAAGGTGATGGTTGATGAAAATCTTAGAATTGTAAAATAATACTCCTCTACAAGTTAAGCAGTTATTTTACTTCTCAGAGGACTGCAGCAATTCAGTTTGGCAGCTGAGGATCAGAAAATTAGAAGCTGAGATTTGGGTAGTCAACGGTGAAATTTTAACTTATCTGAACAAAATACTACTACTACAAAAATTCTCCAATAATTTCAACAGCAGCAGTATTTTAAGACCATCACCCTTCCATCTCTGCTGCTTCCTCCTGGTTTCTTCATCCGACCACCGGTCTTCTTTACAAAGTTACCCTCAAAAGCTGTTTCTATGTTTGTCTTTACAATACTCTTCCTCTACTGCAGCCATTACAAAATAAAATCTTTATTTTGCCTATACTACAATTTGCAAGGCTTTAGCTACACTATATAACCGCTTCATTCAACACATTTTGAAGTCCGAGACTTCCCCAAACTTTCTTTCCTACACAACTCCATGTTTGTCCAAATACCTGTTACCTGGCTCACGCGCATCCCTGATCGCTGAAAAGTGTACATGCTAGTAGCTAGCAGAGTCAATGGATCCAAAACTTCTTTAAAGTTGTAGCCTTTTGCAATGCTAATACATGTTCCATTGCTAGGATAAGGAAATAAACACCACCCTATTACAATCTTTTCCTGAAATTTTGCTAAAGACTAGAGACCACTGCATTTGTTTTAAGGCTCTTCTGGGAGGGTAATTTTTAGCAAAGAAAATAAACTTAAGACACCCGAAATGTGTACCAAATATGGTTGATGTAGATACGTACGTATGAGTGTGCAAAAAGTCTGGAGAGGTGAAAAAAATCCAGGAGTAAATACTCTCAGTAAAATATTAACTAACCACTCATCACAACTGCTAAGTCAGCACTTAATTTTCATTTCTGTTATCAAAATAATGACAGGCAAGCAACTGACTGAAAACAAGACCTCATTTTTCTTGAGGAGTGGCACTTACATTACCAATAGATTTTTCTCCTCAGTCAAGGAGGACTCAAGATTTAGGATCCTTACAAAACTGACAAACGTTCAAACTCAAATGTTAGTGAGACAAGCTTTAGATCCATGCAATCAAGTTCCTGCAGCATAACATTCAATATATTCATTACCTACTGTAACTGGTATCACACTATGGCAATTCATGGCATGTTATCTTATTTTCTTCCAGCGAGACCACTGCTTCTCCTAAAGGTTTGCCATTAAGCATGGACTATCACTTCCTCCAGCAGATCATCACAATAAAACATACATCTAAGAGCATCTTGATTTTATTTCTGAGTGAAAATTGTTTCCAAAAAAACTCATGACATGTATTAAGTGACATGTGACATTAGCTGACATTAAGTGACAGCTAACTTTCACAAGTTAGTAGGTAAATGTAACTTTCCTTACGACGTTATCACATGGTTAGAACTTCAATTATCTCACAGTCCTGGCCTCTGCTTATAGCTTGTTACTAAGGGTGTGCTTTCATGTTATGGCTGGAGGTGTTTGAAAAATTTATTAATGCTTGCTCCTCTTTTACCTCTTTTCTGGTACGTCACTAAATGGGTTCACTAGTTTTGCTAGATTAATGACTTGAATTGGCTTATTTTGCACAAAATGCCAGAACTGGCATTGTGTGGTGAGGGGACAGAAGAAGAAAAAAACAGCAATAGGAAGAAAAAAAAGAAAGGAACAGGTGAGGAGGGAAATGAGGAAGACCTCCTCCTCTTCTGAGGTCAGTGAGCTATTAAATAGGCTCACCCACAACAAGAAATCATGCCCTAACTGTGCAGCTAGAGAACCTTATGGCACTTCAAGTCATCGGCTGCAGTCCATACTTTCTCCCTGTATGTGGCTATATTTTCCCAACCCCCTCCTCAGTGCTAGTACTGATTACTTTGTGTAGCATGGTCAAAAAGTTAACCACTTTATTATCTTAGCCATGAAACTGCACTATAACCATCCTAGAGCGTATCTGTGTGTATAAAATC